CCCCCCCTACATATGAAATTTTCACGTGATGCGGCGATCCCGAGGATTCCAGCCCCTCACTTGCTAAAGCAAGGACAACTCCAGCTAGCTGGTGCTAGCTTTCGTGAAAAGAGTGGGGCATAACGCAAACCGGTCATCTACACGGGAAGGTGCAGCCAGGCCTTGGCATGCTGTTGGCATTCAAATAGACCCAGGCCTCCCAGCATTTGAGTTGTCATGATTCAACAGACATCCTAAAGTGCATGCTGAGTGGTTTCAACTTGGCTTTGCACTGCAGACTCCGCACCCTTTCCCATATATCGCATGACCAAGTGAACACAGCCTACCGGCATGCTGCGAAGGTTCATGAGTTAGCCACCTGTGGGCTTCCCTCACAAGGACCGGCTGGCGCGTGTTTTGATTGGGACCTGGGTCCAAAATTATTTGTCAACCTACCATGACATCCCCTCTGGTGAATGAAATCGGACAGCTTGGATTCAAACTGTCATACCCATAGCTCAAAGCCCCAAAGCTTTTCACTCGGACTTATGGGAAGAAGCTTCGGCTCCCTTTGCAGGCTTTGCGACCTTCACGTCAGGCACTGTTCCTTAGAAGTGGAATGTTCAATTTTGGCTTCAAGATTTTCATTACCGGAAAACCCTGCTTGGCCCTGGCGGTGTAAGTTTTGCTTTGCACAAAAATGTGTTGGAGATTCAGGCCCAAGGCACCATCAAAAGTAGGTTCCAATGCTGAAGCAGCTGAAAACCAACCATCATAGGTGTTGGCAGCTTTGATGCCCTCATCCGCCATGCAATGGTTCCAGAACTTAACCTGGAAGGGTTGTCACGTTCCAAAAAAGAAACGGTTGGGTTACGAGTTGTAAGTCGATCGTGCTATGGTTCCGATGGCTAAGAGACTTCCAAAAAAAGGGCCAACGAGATCATAGTTGGCACTATTTACTCTGCGTCCTCTCAACCTGTCTTGGTATGACTTGGCACTGGTGATGGGGAGAGGCTAGGCTTTGTCACCCCATGTCACCCCTAGCCTGAAGCTTCGAATGAGACTTGATGCGCGGCTTGATCTTGGTGTTGAAGACTTCTCGGATGGCTTGCCACTTCGCAGCACCAAGCTCTGATTGCGGGCAGTAGCGGCCTGCAAAAGTTGTGACCTCTTTGGGCTGGTCACTTCCACCAGTGGCTGAATCCTTCTGGTCTGGTGAATCCTTCTTCTCTGCTTGTTTGGCTCTGCCGCGCGTTGTCTTGGGAGCTTTCTCCCCTTCTCCCTTGCCCTGCCCGTCTACAGCCTCACCACCTTGCGCAGCATCACTGCTCTTGCC